AAGGAGCGAAACTGTTTTGAAGAATTCCACCCAAGAAAAACATGATAAATTTGTTCAACGCTACCCAGTGTGACATATCTGGCACATAATACCCAAATTCCCAATGTGCCATATTTGGCACGGTCTGTAACTTTTAAATACAAGTTTTAGATGAAAGAAACTTTCAAATTTGGTTATTGTACTTCCTTTTGAACACGTTCTGTGAAAATGAAATTTTTCTGTCAATGATTTCTGTACCTGGGCACTAGAGGGTTAGGTTCCTTTCCAAAAATGGTTTTTCCCTCTTTGCCCTTTACTGTTACTTCTGGTCTCCGATATTTTCCAGAAAGAGTCTTTGTAGTCTGGTTAAGGATTCGCATGCTCCCGCCTGCTGCTGCCTCCTCTGCCCTCTCCTCCAGCCTGTTCATGAATTCCTCCTTGTCTTTTCTTAGTGATCTCTTTACATCTTTAGCTGTTGTTCCGTACTGCTCCAATGCGCCTGCTTTTGATCCTCTTGTTCTACTTGCATTTGTCTCTGCTTTCAGTTGTCTTCTAATGCTATCAAATCCAATGACCGTTGGCTAATCCATTCCTTGTGCTCCAATTTCTTCTCATCGACTACTCCTTGACATGTTGAAGTAAAGACTTCTTTGACCTTGGTCCAGTGCATCTCCACCTCCATGTCCTCCTCACCAAGATCCGCCAAGAGTTGAAATCTGTTCCTCAGCTGCAGTTGAAACTCCTCTTTCTTGTGTCCAATTCTACGATACTAACTTGGAACTTCGTTCTTTTGGTTCCTGTTCTGGTTCTGTGTATTTTTTAGACGAAGCTTGAGTTTTGTTAACAGCACATGATGATCCGATCCAACGACTGCCCCTCTCTGTACTGTGACATCTTCCAGTGAACGCCTGAACCTACGAAAGATACAAAAAAGATCGATCTGGTTCTACGTAACTCCATCCGGTGATACCCAAGTAAGTAGCCTTGTTGTGGATCCTCTTGAGGGGGAAAAACAGAGCCTCCAATGACAAAACTATTGAAAGAACAGATATTTGCAAATCGCTCACCGTTCTCATTCATTTGTCGCTAGTCACGTTGTTCCATGATTCCCTCATAACCTACATTGTGTCAACCAATCTTGGCATTGGCATTTCCAAGTATGATGTTGACATTCTTCCTTGGTAGTTTGTCGATGACCCCTGGAGCCGGCAGTAAAAAGCGACCTTTTCTTCATCCGAAACTTCATTTGTTGGGGCGTAGATCTGAATTATGTTCATGTTGATGCTCTTATTCCTTGTAGTGAATGACGCCATGATTATCCTCTCCCCCTGTGGTTCCCATCCTCTAACTAAGTGACTTCTGTGCATACTTGCTCAAAATAATTCCCACTCTCTCTGCATGGTGCTTGTCTTCCCTCCCAGAATACAATATTTGTTCCCCCGAGCTGAGCTGCTTCTGTCCAGACTGTATCCAGTGAGTTTCGCTGACTCCTAGTATGTGCAGCCTGTATCTCTTCTTCTCTTGTGCCACTTGAGAACTCTTTCCTGCTTCATACATGGTGCGAACATTCCACGACGTAATCCGGAGAGACTTGTTCGACCGAGAAGATTTCGGGTCAGGAGTGTCCTTTCGGCTTTGTCCGAAGTCCTTAATTATTCCTGTTGATACAGACGCTCCTCCGTCTCCCAAGATGAAAAAATAATAAGGCCTGTTTGTTTGTGTTTCCTTTCTATAACTTTCCGTTTTTACTGGGTCGGGTAGTTGGCCCTCGGCAAACTGGCACTTTTTGGGCGACCAGACCTAGGCACCTTTAGTCTCCTCTTACGACACGCAGTATCACGACAGGTGTATTCTTTGCCC